AAACGAGCGACTGGTCCTACCACAAGCGCATTTGCAAAAGCCCGAGGAGCCCAAGAAGCCGACTCCGTCCAAGCCTAAGGCGGCATCGTCGACGACCACTGCTGCCGCATCGACGACCAAGGCGGTGACGACGACGACATCTGCAGCCAAGGCCAAGCCGGCCAAGACTGAAGTTGTTGTCGAAGACGAATCAATCGAAAACGCCAAGGGCTACAAGAACGGGCTCCCGTACTTCCATCGCGAGCAGTCGGAGCACGAGAAGGCGCTCATTGGCGACATTGCGCCAAAGAAAATCGAAGAGGTCGAAGTGGTGGCACCGGCGCACGATGGGTCGGCGTGGAACACGGCCGGCACCTTTGAGCAGCGCGACTTCACCAAGTGGGCCAAGGTACAATTGCGTCTGCACTCCGCTTCCGTGTCGAACTCGCTATATAGGGTCGCCTCGAAGAGCTCCTCGCGAGCGTCGAAGTCTTGCACTCGAGCACGACGATCCGAACCAAGCCCATAAAGGACCTCAAGGGCGACGCCTCCGTGTGCGTCATCCGCGGCAAGAAGCGGTACGTCTTTCTATGGTATTCTACCGCGCACTCAAAGCGTTCAGGTTTCTCTTTGACTTTGAGTTTACGCTCGAGTGGGAGGCAGTCGGGCTTAACGCCAAGGGGAAGCTCAAGTGCCACGACATTGGCAACGACGGCGACTACGAGATCCAGTGCTCTTACGACAAGAAGCCATCGGACGCCATCGAGGCTCAGGCTGTCCACGCCGCCGTCACGAGCAAGACGTCTGGCCTCCACTACGCCGTCGCGCAAAAGATCGGCCAGTTCTCGGCCGACTTTCAGGCCTTGTAGATTGATGCAACAAAGTACGTGTTAGACAAAATCCGTGGCTACATGGCAACGCACGACCGGAACAGACGGCAACGAAGGGTGGACAACGGAGCCGACACCATCGAGATGGCTCAAGCATGGACACTGCGAGTGTGGGGCGAGGGAAAGACTCGCAGCTGTAGACGTTGCGACGTCGATTAAGGGACATCCTGGTTCCAAGCATGGCTACATCCAGGAGGCAGCAGGCTCACGGCGGCACGTATACTCCTCTATTAATAGCGGCGCTTGCGTGCTCCAGATTCGTGGCAGCAGCAAGGTTGGAGCGCCTGCGTTGGCCAATCAGCGGCGCCCGGACCTTGAACTTGGGTAGGGGGCCCTCTAAAAGGGTCGTGCGGTGATCTTGACGCATTTGAAAAGCACTCGTCCGACGCCCATGCTTCGCTCTCTGACCCGGCGCCGCCTCCATGCGCCGCTCGCCCGCCACAGCACGCGCGCCATGCACCAGCTCAAGATGAGCCCCGAAGTCGAAGCTGCGCTCCGTGACGGCAAGCCCATCGTCGCGCTCGAGTCGACGATCATTAGTCATGGCATGCCGTTCCCGCAGAACTTTGAGATGGCAACCAAGGTCGAGGCCATCGTGCGCGAGCACGGCGCGTGTCCCGCGACGATCGCGATCCTCGAGGGCGAGATCTGCGTCGGCCTCGCCGAGAGCCAGCTGCACACGCTGGCGTCGCTCGGCGCCAAGGCCACCAAGTGCTCGACGCGCGACATTGCGTCTGTCGTCGCCTCCAACGGCACGGGCGCGACGACCGTCTCGAGTACCATGTACGCATCCTCTTCCTTGGTTCGTCGCAAGCAACCTTGTTTTGCGTAGGCGCATTGCGCATGCGGCCGGCATCGACGTGTTTGTGACGGGCGGGATTGGCGGCGTCCACCGCTTCTGCGAAGACACCCTTGGTGCGACGATGCTCATTTGTACTGTACTGGTGCTCACGCACTGTGGTAGACATCTCGACCGACTTGATGGAGCTGTCCCGGACGCCTGTCGCTGTCATTTGCGCCGGTGTCAAGTCGATCCTCGACATCCCCAAGACCCTTGAATTTCTCGAGACAAACGTACGACGTCTGCTATCCACGCATGGCGAGCACGTTGAGTTTCTAGGCGGTGCCAGTCGTGGGCTATGGCACCAGCGAATTTCCGGCCTTTTTCACGACGACGAGCGGCTC